AAAAAGTAAATTGTTAGAATCGAACCTGATGCGTAGGAATGAAGCACTAAAAATTTCAGCCGGATTCGTGCACGCGCCTAGCAGTCATGCAGGAACAAACAGAACGACACTACTCAAATTATTATATAGATATATATATATATATATATATATATATTCTGCTCTCTGTCGCCCTCTTATCGCTGTAGAAGTATGCACGTGTGTATCACAGGCACTTACAGCGTTTCAATCAAATATAATGCTAAATAAATACGAAATCTATTTACTACCAAAGTCTTAATGTTTCTCTACTCTCTTTCGTCTATTATTGCCGACAATTTTCTGTAAATTCCGTGCAAATGCTTCTCTGCAACACACATGTCCACCGCACGCACGCTGCCGCACGCTGCCGCACACTGACACATAAATATAGAGTCTATATATGGTGTGTATAGGTGCGTGCGTACGTGTGTGGTTTGGTCACACGGCTGGTTAGTCTATCGGTCGAATAGACTTGATTCGCTAATTTACTAATCGATTAATAATATCGTGTTTCTGATAACCCACGAACGCGCTCACGCTCCCTCACAGGCACGCGTGTACGCATATCAATACATACATCAATCAATGTATCGATCATCAATCAATGTATACACGAATACCTCGCCGATCCACTCACCTCGTACAGCTGATTGTCGCTCCAGTGTGGGTTGAGATTGGTCAGCCGCTCAGTGATCCTGTTATGCTCGCGCACCCACAGCAGGTGCATGACGGACAGCATTGGCTGCTCGTTGGCGCGCAGGTCGCCGGCAAGGAAGCACAGAGCCTTGTCCTCATTCTTACAATCATCGTCGAGCGCATGCGGAGGCAGCAGTGGCTTCAGTCCATCGCTGTTAGGCACTGTCCGTAGCTTGCCTGCGACAGCGTAAGTGTTTATGTTAGATGAGCATCAAACTACCCCCTAACCCATCTTCCCCTCATTTACGCATATACGCGAAGGGCAGCTCTGAAGTCCCAGCCTGTTCTGCTAGCATCTATGACAAATACGACATACGCATAATTTTTATACGCTCTCCTATGACACTATTTGTCATAGGAAGATTCTTCCTATGACAAATATTGTTGTATGTGTTGTGCGCATCATAGGAGTTTGCGCTATTATGAACGCAAGCAGTGAATTTCAGCTGTAAAGCGGAACGAAGTTGACTGGCCAATATTTGTCATAGGAAGAATCTTCCTATGACAAATAGTGTCATAGGAGAGCGTATTTGTCATAGATGCAAGCAGAACATGTTGCGTCTTTACAGCGTCTACCGCACTCCACACGGTCGCGGACGCGACCGTTGCTAAAGAGCGTAGAGAAGATTTATAGACACCGGGAGAATTAACATGGCTTGTGTTTACGCTTACCATCTCTGAATTCTCTCAGCAGGGTCGCTCTGCATGTATCCGATCCGTACACGTTGGACGCGTCTAGGTACGACGTAATGGCGTTCATCTGCTGCCGAGGACCTGCATGGGGGAAAGACACACGTACAGGGCGCTATATATAAACGAAGTTATGATATTCCTGGTGCGATTATAGTACAGCAGCTAAGGGATATAATTGTGCACTTTTTGACCAAAGTATGAAAATTGGCATGAAGGTAGTTTAAGATATGTACATTCATATGAGATCGGGTACCCATCTCCATCGGCATGGTATCTTGGCGCAATCTTGAATTATTATTAAGCGCAAAAGGTTGGATGCGTCTGACTAAGGATAACACCTACAATCGTGTCTTTAACCTGTTTTTAATGGATGCATCCCTTCAGTTTATAAAATGTATCCTCGCAACTCTCGATAAAGGAACAAGGTTCTTGCGTCTTACTCCAATGTTTTGGATAGTGGCACTCGCACGAAATGGATATGCAAACCATGTTCAGAACATCGAGCTTAAACATCGATTAATAAATAATCGCTTTATATTATTATGTACTATTATTAATATTATTATATTTAATATTATAATTTTATATTAATAATTAATAATTTTTATTTATGATTTAATATATAATTTAATATTAATATTATAATTATTATTATGTATTATTAATTATACGACTTACCAAAGCGGAGGCTAATAGGACTAGAGCGGGCAAAGCCCATGCATTTCCGATTTCCTTCCGGGGTCGTTATTGGGAAGAATGGATCGTCTCTCGGCACCTCGATGGGAAAGCATTCGGTGCTGACTGTAGTGAAGCTGTTACAGTTTGAGCAGTCCAGCACCGAGTTGTTGAAACCTGGATTTTGATATCAATAACAATATTTAATCAAAGGCAATGTGTTTCGATTTGCTTGTCTCTCGTTCTCTCGCTCTCTTTCTTTCTCTTTCTCTCTCTCTCTCTCTCTCTCTCTCTCTCTCTCTCTCTCTCTCTCTCTCTCTCTCTCGCTCTCTTCTTCGCTCTCGCTCTCTCCTCTTCGCCTCGTCTCTATCTCTCTCGCTCTTCTCCTCATGATCACGCTCTCTCTCTCGTCTCTCTCGGCGCCCGCCTCGTCGTCCTTTCTGTCTGGTTTTTCTCTCTATCGCGAAGCGTTCTCTCTTCCCTTTCTCTCATGCCCTATCTATCTCGTCTGCTCTCTCGTCTCTCTTCTCATGCTCTCTCTCTCTCTTCTCTCTCTATCTCTCTCATGCTCTGCTATCTCTTTAAGATCCACGCCTCGTCTCTCTCTCTCTCTCTCTCTCCGCGGTCTCTCCTCGTGTGCCAGCTCTCTCTCGTCTTCTCATCAATCTCGGCTCTCCTCTCATGGAAACGCGCTCTCACTCCTCTCGGTCCCGTCTCAGATCACCCTCTCTCTCTTCTCTCTCCTTCTCTTCCTCGCTCTCCTCACTCCAGCTCTTCGTCATGATCACCGCGCGCTCTCGTCTCTCTCCTTCTCTCTCTTCACTCTCTCCTCATTGATCACGGCCCCTGTCCTCTACCTCTCTCCGTCTCCCTCTCTCTCTCGTCCTCGTCTCTTCTCGCCTGTCCCACTCTTCTGTCTCCTCCTTTTCTCCTCCTCCGGGGCGCTCTCTCTCTCGTCGTTGTCTTGTCATTGATTTTTCTCTTGCTCCGCGCGTTCCCTCACTGACTTCTTCCCTGTTCTCTCAGTCGGCTGCCTCTCTAGTCC